GTCAACGAATTGTACATCTCCTGAACAACGAAACATCCCGTCAACCGATCCTTCTCCCGAAACCCGATCATAGTGGCCACCTGGAGTATGTGCTGAAGCGCACTAATGACATTAAGAGGCTTCTCGAGACAAAGACTGATGTCCGCCTAGTGGGTCCGATAGCGCGCTGTGCAGGTCAAGATTGCATCGACCAGACACGCGAGTTCGGTTTCGGTGACCCTATCGACTTCAAACAGCACTGGCGCTACCGCTACCTGTTCGACGCGGATGGCGCCGGCTTCTCTGGCCGTTTCCTCCCTTTCTTACAGTCCAACTCCGTGGTCTTCAAGGCTGCCCTCTTTCGCGAATGGTACGAAGGCCGCCTCACTGCCTGGAAACATTTCGTTCCTGTGGATCTTCGTTTACACGATCTCTTTTCTTCGCTTGCCTACTTTGGTGGGTATGGTGTCGAGGCGAGGAACAAGCGTATGATGGAGGGTCATATCAAGGCTGCAGAGAAGATTGCACGAGATGGCAAAGTGTGGACGGAGAAGGTGTTGAGGAAGGAGGACATGGAGGTGTACATGTTTAGGCTGTTGCTTGAGTGGGGAAGGCTCACGGATGATGCGAGGACGGAAGTGGGCTTTCGCATGGAGAAAGGGAAGTCAAAGGCTCGTGAGAGGACGAGTAGTGTTGAGCGGGAAGTGGAAGAGCTGTGATATTGTAACAGTGCAAGGCGTTTAGACCGTGGCGTTTGGTGGGATAGCATTGCATGGCGCATACTCCCGTCAGAGGACAATTACCGCTTTTCTGTGTCATTCGCGAGTTTGGTGTGCACTCTTTGCGATGCGATGTGTTGGTGATGATGATCACCATCGCAGTCTCTCTGCTAACCAGCTCCAGCTGTGCGCCCCGACAATCACCCGAAAATCGATCTATATAAAGTCGCGCTTCGGTACTTACACTACTTCTTTCTTCATTACTCACTTTCCCTTCGAAGTTTCTCAAAAACAATGTGAGCAGTCCCCATGTGTTGAGCATTGTCCAAAACTTCGAATTCTCGAGCGCATGTGCGGCGAAGTGTGCGACTGTGTCTTCGCAAAACAACTCAAAAAAAGCATGGACCTGTTCCCGCGATGATCTGTTCGGAGCTTCATGCCTTAATTTACAAAAACACATTGGCCTATTGTGATGACTGCGAGTTGCGGTTCTTGTTCCTACAAAGAGACTGGGCAATGAAAAATGAGGTTGACGTCGCCATGGCCAAGTGGCAGCGTATAAAACAACAGAATACAACACTATGCCTCTCCTGTTCCTGCATAACTTTTGCGCATGCGACTATCAAAAAGCCGTTCTTGGGCTTGACATGTTGCGAGTGCGAGCAGCCTCTCTCAAACCAAAAGAGAGACTGGTAGAGTTCATGTGTCCTGCTCCTCGCTCGCTCCTTTCCCAAGACACTACCTACGTCTGCAATGTGCTGGCTCTGTCTTCTGCTTCTTCAGTCTTTACCATGCAGTAAACGAAGTGTACGAAAACGTCAGACAGATTACTCATGTTGGTGGTTGTCTTCCAGTGGAGTCGACGCCCACCATTTGGGCTTAGTATACCTTGGCTGAAGTGTGTGTATAAATACTCTACTGAAAGCTGGGATGCTCTTCCATAACCCACACTTATCAAAAACATATCAAAAAAGAGGAGCTCGAAGCTCATGGCCTCCTGCGGCGTCTTCTGACTTTTCGAAATAAGCACGCGGTCAACCCTTCTATGCTGTTCCTCCTCTTCTTTCTAAAAGTCTGAATCAACATTTGGCATGTCCTGCGCGTCCAAGACCAGTTCACTAGCCGCACAATATATAAACACTCTCTTGCTTCCATTATTCTTCACCTATCAAATCCTGCTACTTCAAATCGCTAAAATGATCAAGTACATCGCAAATGGCTTCTTCTTTTGCTTCTTCCAAAACCCAAACTTGCTACACTTATGTTCCTTTGCCTGGACTTGCGAAAATCTCAGACCACTGCGAGCGCTGAATATCCCCTGAGCATCGACTTCCGAAAACAAAAAGAATTCTGCACGCAATCATGGAGACGAAGGGAGGCTTTTGCATACGCTATTCAAAGCTTGGCTAGAGGAGGATATGATGGAGAAGTCTGTGCCTCGGGTCATGTATAAAGCAGCCTGTTCTTCCTGAACATTGAGCATCTTCAAAAGCTGTGTGCACTTTGCGAACTTTCCAAAAGTAAAGCATGTGCTGCTATGTGTCGGCCCTCCTTTCCAGCAAAACTACCGACCGATCTACGCATGAGGTGGCTCTCTTGCGTATATTATTCCAATATGCTTTCTCACCCAGTCGGCGCTGCCAAAACAAGCGCGATCAATGGTCATGTCTGTTTTGCTGAAGTGGATTTGGTCCGCAACACTCGCGTCCCAATATCCAGACAGCTCTACACTCATGTTTGTTCAATATCATCTCATTTCTATGAGTCACCGAAAGCACATGCTTTCCGCTGAAGCTACATCTTCGGTGTTCTCTTGCACTTCCGCTAAGGTTCGATTCATCATAGTGTATGAATTTGCATGACGTCTCTGTTCAATCATACCGCTTCTTCCAAATCGACGTTGACACCAACCCCATGTTTCTCAAGCAGCAGTAGCATAGACTCTAGCCCATCCTTTCTCGCTCGGCGCACGCATTCCTCTGCTGTTCCTGGAGAATGCAAATCCGCTCCTCGTTCGAGAAGAAACTCAAAGAGTGCCGTATGTTCTGTGGCGATTGCTCCGGCGAGAGGGCTGTCCTTGCCAATGCTTTCGTTGACATCTACGCCGGCGTCAACAAGTAGCCGCACTACGTCCAGATAAGGTCCTTGTTTGAGATTTCCGAACAGTTTAGCGGGCACTACGCGACTTGCATTCCATGTCCCCACATCGACAAGTGCATCACCGATATTAAGCCCACGATCCAGTAGCCATTTGAGGAGTCTCCTGTGGCCATGGCCAGCCGCGCTCGAAAGGGCTCGATCAGACTCGGCTCCGTCGTCTAATAAGATTTCGACGATGGGTATGAAGCCACGTTTGCTGGCATAGTCGACTGCCTCATTCCGCAATTGGCATGAAATCTCATAGTCCGATGATCTCGACATACAGACTGAGTACCGATCCCGACCTTCATCGGTATGTGCGGCGACTCGTATTAGAAACGAAACCATATCCAGGTAGCCCAATCCTGCGAGATGACGGATCCTGCGCCAAAGGTCAATCCTGGACGTCGGAAACATACCACAAGCAATGCGTAATGTCTCGATATATTCCCACACTTGAAGATCCATAACTTTATCAAGAATGGAGTCTAATGGATTTGTTGACCCAACCGGAGTGTTTTCGAAACGCCATGGCCACTCTTCGCTTCGATACCCGTGTAGGAAACGAACGATATCTATCCGACCGGCTATCGCTGCAAGTTTGAAGAGTTCAAACCTTACACCTGGGCCGGAATCAGGTGGTGCGCTCGCCATAAGGTACTCATGAAGCTCCTCGTTGCCAAGCTTTGCAGCCAGCTCGATAAATGTTCCAAATACGCAGCTGTTATCAACACTTGTGATGTCTGACAACATGGTATCTCGTAACGCAGTAGACCGCCGAACGTAAGGTAGGCTGTTGGTGCAAAGCGCAGCACCAAAAATATGTTTCTCTAATTCGCAAGGATCCCACTTGTTTGGGCGGCGGAACTCGCTTCTCCAACGGTCCCGGGCATCTCTGCTCATCCTCATCATTGCGCATAGAGTCTGGACCACATTCGTAGTGATACATTCATCGTCCTTTTGAGCATCGACCGACAATGAAATTTGTAGAGCCACGTTTCGGACACCGTTGAGGAAGCAGTTGCCATCTAGAGGCTCATGCATAATTCGGTGGACCCGATAGGATTGGAAAAAGTTGATTTCTTCCCAAGAATAGGGAGTGCGAAACATGATTCCATCGAGTAGGCGGAAGGTACGAAGTGCGAGTATCACTTCTCGCGCGAAGTAGTCTAACGGCGGTCAGTGTGAAAGCTCAGATCATGATAGATAGCTCCATACGGTTTATCAGTCTCAAACGCAGACCTCTTTTCGTTCCTCGGGCTAGGATGGCATAGTGTAAGATCGTTTCGAACAGCTCTCTGGGAAGATCAAGAAGTTTCATATCGTCTACGGGTATCCCCACGATGGACAGTGCTGAAGCCGTTGGCGGGATGGATATGTGTTTGAGGTTGACCTAAAATTTGCCTGGGCTTATGTTGAGCAGCGAGTCTCCTGGGATAAAAGAGAGGCGTCGCGGGGCTTGCGCCCTTCGCCATTGCGGCACGGAACGGTTTGTGGCACAGACATGGCCGGCCACCGTGTGTGGGCCTTGCATAGATTGCGAGCCAATCGCAATCGTAATGTCTGAAGGTGGCTGTAATTGAGGCAATCTGCCTGAGACTCTCCCAGCATGAGGGGTCATGTAGTCTGAGAGAGCCTGTCGCGCCAATCAGGCTAGGTCAGGGTCACGAGGGCCAAGCCTCCCGAGGTTCCATCGTTCCATCCGACCGCCAAGAGCTACGGCTCCGCCTATTCACTTTTTATGTCAACTTTTGACATTGCATGTGTCTGACATGCAGCAGCGTCAAGTGCGACGCCGTACGATGCCCCTCGACACCTGATGGCTGTTGGCCTGGCTCCCTCACTCGTCGGCCATACAGTGTTGCGACCAGTCACATCCAATGATGCGCAACTCCACGAGATACTTGCAAGGTTGAGATACGGGTATTCTAAGCGAAGTTGCGTGCATCTCACATACGTAGATGTATTCTCTAAGTCGTAGTACAGAAAAGCAAAACGAGCGACTCAATAAATAAACAAAAGCAGCCATCGGCAATGACAGACTCAACATGAGGAAATACCATCTCATTTCAACCCACTCTCTCTGATTCTTTCCTTTGCTGATGACGCCCAGCGCCGTCAGTCCGTCGATAATGGTTATCGACACGCAGCCATGCGAATCTATTAGGAGATCTCCACATCCGGGAGAGTCTCCCATGGCTCACCGGGCCTCGCGACGCCATGCATCTCATCTGCTGGAAAACCAATCGGTTCATCGCCTCTCCTCCAGATCACCTTTTCGTCGCCCAATTCGAAGCGCTCATAATCTTCTCCCAATTGCAGACGATCGTCTCTGTTGATAGGTACAACTTTGATGCTATCCACGCGGGCGTTACGGGTAAGTTCTGGAAGTTCAAAGGTCCACCAATTTGAGCCTTTCCCAGGATACGGCTGGTTCACACTGGTACCACTCTTTATCAAAGCGTAGATATCGCCCTCCACTGCTTGAGCATAGGCCTTCGAGTTTGCTGCGAAGTAGTAGTTGGCTTGTCTTTCACCAGCCAATCTATATGTTTCGTATTCGTCGTGGTATCTATCATGCAGGTTTCTAATAGGCAGTACGTTATCCATATATGGAATGTTGGTTTGGCCGATTTTGTGCTCCAGCGTTTGCTTGAAGACGAAGCTCTCTCCGCGGTTATCCAGCCCAGAGTAGAACATCCATGGCTTGCCAGTAAGTCCGTCTCGTGCAATGATTCTTCGGAAATCATTCACCCGGGCTGCTAAGTTAACTACCGGAACAGCCGGAGTTGCAGTGTTGGGATCAAAAACGTCGTTGGCGGATGTTGCCGGCTGGTTACGGTTGTTCCTTGCTGAAGGCGCGTACTGAACAGCATTCTGCGGACCAGGGTTGTTACCCGCGGGTGCGTTTGGGGCCGGATTGGGGTTCGGGGCTGGATTAGGGTTTGCTGGTTGAGCGTCCGGGTCGGGGGCCGCTGGTTGCGAACTAGAACCTGGACCGCCCGTATCATCCCCGTTGTTATTGTTGTTGAACCCTCCCTCGGTTTCCTGCGAATCGGAAAAGCCACCAGATGTCTCTTGCTGCTCACTGAACCCCCCAGACTCACCCTGCTGATCGCCGGCGTCAGAAGGAGTGTTTTGCTGATCTGGGTTTACATGAGGTGCGTTGGGACTGTTGTCGTTGGGTTTAGTTGGGCGTCCTCCGCCACTGGCTCTACGGTCGAGTGCGGGCGGGAGAGCATCAGTACGGGCAAGATAAGGCCAGTTTGTATTGTTGAATGGGTATCTACAATCGACTTCGTTCTGGCATGGAGCGATCGGTATGATTGGTTTGCCGCTACTTTGGAGGATGTATGCGGACAACAATCCAAGAGCAATCGACTTCGGCACCGAGTGGCGCATCGTGATGGTGTTGTTGAGTGGCGATGGTGTTTTGATACGAAGATGTAATTTGCAGAATGATCTTAATAGTAGAGTTTGGGTGAAGAAGGGAGTAGATCACTGTTGTGCTGGACGTCGAGTCAGGAGTCGTGGCTCTTATGTCTTCCTCCGTCGTTTCTCTGCGTGTCTCGTCCCGCCGAACTTTCCTGGGGTCACATTCGAATCAGACAACAGATTTGCACATCTAGCCTCATGCCAGATTTCACGTCTCAATGCTACGTCATAAGCCCTCGTTATCAAAGGCGGTGCTTGGGTTCTTTGTCCATCTGCTGCGGACGGCCCGTGGCGAAGTTCGGCAGTGACACTATGTGGAACACGATCGCCGTGTTGGATGTCACGTATGCTCTTCGAAGAGGCGGAAAGATCTCTAGATGAAACCTAACAGTAACTGAGCCGCCTCAGGGTCTTGCGGGGGCGGATTGTGAGTGACGATGGTCGCCACGCCGCAAGTCCAGACGCCGCACGTTGAGGCGGCGCAGAGCCATTACCACACCAATGTGATGACATACGGCGCCATATTTGATTACTCTATGTCACAGAGGGGGGCCATGATGTTTTTTATCGCATCGCAATGGAGTTGGGGCTGCGGCATAGAAAGGAGATCGAGTGCTCAGTGTCGCGACTCGGGGCCGATGTAACTGCCGACACCTCAGATGCAGTGAGATGAAGCAGAAACAAGGACACATAAGGAGTAATTGAGAGTACAGTGATGGCATCCTGCATCTCAAGCTCACGAAAGTCGAACGAGCATGACGCGTGCAGTGTAGGTGACACCATCATCATGGGAATGGGGTCCAGAGGGTCTTGCATCAGGACACGAGAGGCCAAAGGAACACGTCCGGATTTCTTTTGGGTGTGGAGAATGCATCTTTTATGCCCTGTCACAGTCAGATATAAGAAGCAAGCAAAGCAACAGTCGATGAGAGCATCAACATCAGTTATCGCTATAACCTTCAACTACTTGCAAATATTCCAAACGCTCTCAAACATTCTTATCCTAGTATCTACATCTTGTGCTATCGAATTCCCTCCTATTACAAGCTCCATACTTGTATACCTTATCACCTCTCGCCATGTCAGGTTTCTTCGCCGAGCTCGGTCTCAGTGTAGCTTTCACCATGATCAGTCTTGCTCCCATGGTCCCCGAATGGCTCAACGGCAACCCCAAGCCACAAACCAAGATCAACGTACTGGTCGGTCTGCCGCCGTTGGATGCCGATGAGCAGAACAAGAAGGACGAGATATACGAGAAGTTGAGTTACGGCGGATGCGCTCCGGAAGTATCACTCTTCAACGCAAACGGAGACCGCGTTGGCTACAGCAAAAACAAGAAATGCAAGCATGTCATTAGCCAGAACAGTCCAACCGACATCTGGGCCGACTACATCAAGCCAGGCGAAACAGAGAAAGCCGAGTACATCACCGTATCCGCATCTGGCCCCGATGCTATCTGCATCTCAGCTATAGCAGTCACATACCCCACTAGCAGCGACACGTACGCTTTCCTGCCCGGCGAGGTAGCTGCCATATGCAACACGCACAACCCAGATTACAAGTACTCCTGGTCCCCATCCGCGACACAGATCCAGTTCAAGTCGGAATCCGGGCAGACCCAAGACGGACGACCGAAATGCCTGTGGATCGACAAGCCCGACGACGACGGAGACTCAGCGACCCACTACGAAGGATTCCAAGTTCATCTTCCCGACTTCAAGCTCGACAACACTACCTTCCATGGATGGCAAGAAGACCCCTCACAAATGTGCGACTCGCTGGCGCGATTTGGCTCATACGACAGGCTCGACCCAATGCTCTGCCCGGAGATCTTCAGTCCAGCGCCACCCAAAGGTGCAAGTCTTCCTTTGGATACCGTCTCCGCATGTATACCGGCTGCAAAAGACAGCACGACAGACCCTCACATCTGCGAGGACGACAGTTTCACGTACCAGGAACGATACGATCTCATTGTTATGTACGACCAGATGTGTCTTAACGACGATTGGTGGTATTATAAGTGTGAAGAAAGGCCTTCATGCCCGCCTGGGCCGGAAAAGCGTCGGTCGCTTCTAAGATCGCGATCTTCTTCATCCTACTGGCCATTTACCCATGCTCCCAAATCGAAGTATCGGCGCACTTCACCCGACCATCCGCTCCAGAGGCAGTTCGATGGAGTACTAGTCAAGAGTCAAGATGTCACGCAAAGTGCAGTGGAGATCTGCCAAAGCACCGGTAGTGTTGGGCCTGACTTCTATTCCGAGCCCGAGCAGATGTTCTGTGATATGAAGACGCGTGAACTGTATCCAGCATGTAACGGTACTGTTCAGATGACTTGTTTCGATCCAACTCAAAACGAGACGAGAATTGAGACTGGTGACGGAGAAGTGGATAAGCGTGGTGAGCGGAGAACATATGTGGAGGTGAAGGATTGGTCGTGAGCGGGACGAGAAGATGGATGGTCGCACAGGGCTGGTCCCAATGTTGATATGTCATTTACAAGTGTACTCCATCGTATCTAATACCTCATACTCCTCACCCCCTTCTTGTGACTCGGACTATCCATCCAGCTTTCCTTGAACCTATCCTCTCCGTCATCGTCCTGATCCACATCTCCCAGATCAATACCAGTAACACCATCCACATCTTCACCGTCACTTCCAAATTCTTCTTGCCCACCAACGCCACCTTCTGGACTCCAAACCGGGCTTGTGGCAATCTTTGGTCTTGACTTGAACACCCTATCGTAATCCACTTCGTCACTGAACAATTGCTCGGTGGGTGTACGCTCGATACTTTCGAGCTTCGCCTGCTCCAGGAGTTCGAATGATTTGCGGGTCCGGGGTGTGTCGAATTGGTTGACGGGGAAGAGTGATGATCGGCTAGATTTACGCTGTTCCTTCTTTGCTGTGACGGAGGGGCGGGGGTTGGATTGCATGGCTTCCATGGTGAGCCGGGTTCGTTCGGCAAGTGTTGCGCGTCGGTCGCCGTCTTCATCTCCAGTGATAGAAGGAATAGGCGGTGGTCCCATAGATGGCAGCGGGAGATCAGGTGACTCTGGGACAGGTTCGAAAGAGTTTGTCCGTGCCATTGTCATGCGTGTGCGTTCAATGAGTGAAAGGGACATGCGTGGTTGAGGCTTCTTGACCGGAGATGGGGTCGCATTACCGATGGAATTGATGATCTGGTCGGCAAGTGCTTCTTCAGCGTTGAGTTCTGGGAGATCGAAAGTTGGGATTGGTGGTTCAGAGGGGTATTCTGGCGATGGCTCAAGTAGTTTTTCAGGGGAGAGATCTGTTTTTTGCTCCGAGTAATTAGTAAGTGTCTTGGCAGCTTCAGACGATGAATTATCGACGGCGGGCTCGGAAACAGCAGATCTAGTCTCCGGTACTGGTGTGCGCTCGTTGTCAGTCTCCGTCGGCGATGCGTCGTGCTGAGTCGTAGCTCTACTCAACGCAGATGATTGACCGATTAGTGTGGCATCTGAGTCGATTGGTGTGGCAGTTGTCGGAACGTGCCGAGATGGTCTGGGTAGGACCGGGACATGTTCTAACGAGTTTGGTCTTGATGGTGACTGTAATTTGACAGGCTTAGCTGGAATCACTGGTGCTTTGCGTATCGCCTCCGTCTGAGTAGATTTCCTTGTGAGAAGTGGTGGGCGAGCAGTCTTTGCCGTCGAGGTACTTCTATGATGTATAATTGTAGATGCAGTACTAGCTCTGACCTTGGCGGCTCGCGCCAGCTCACTGTCCATGTCAGACAGGATATCTTGAAACTCTGTTCGCATAGTCGGCCGCTTTACACTCGCAGATTCTGCTGTGTGCTTCGCCGACGGCAATTGATATTGCGAGTGGTCATCGAAGTGGAACTCCTTTACTGGCGCCGTAGTCTGTCCGCTTCCTGATGTTTCCTTCTCTGAGTCGTCATTTTGTAGCTCAGCATGGAAAGCCTTCCACTTTTGTAACCTCTCCTGCTGCTCTTGCACTCTTGCTTGCAGGTTCTCCAGTAATCCAGTTTCAGGCGCGACGTCTTCTAGTTTTCTGCCTTTTTCCACCATATGCAAGACTTTGTCGAACCGGCTGTTTAGGAACGCATCGTCCGCCTGTACGTTCTCGCCGCGTAGCATTACGTCGAGCCACTGTTGGTTGCCAACCCAGTTGTCCTTGAGCTGTTTCTTGATGGCATTGGCTTCTTTCTGTGGTATCGCTGGCTTTTGCGCTCGAGGGGTATCTTTGCATTTGCGTATGCGACCCCGAATATCTGCTGCCTTTTTGTCCAGAAGACCATGGAATTCCATGTACTTCAGCCTCTTCTCTTCTTTTTGTCTCAGCACGTTGACGAGCGCTGCCTTGTGTGCGATAGCTAGGGGCAGTAATGACCGTTGCTGTTCGACTGAGAGTGTTGACGCTGTCGCCAGTTTTCTTGCGACAACGGCGTCTCTGTCACCTCCGTCTTGCGCTGCAAGAACCTTTTTGAGTACGGCATTCGAAAATATAGCCAATATCTCGTAGAACTTCTCGCCCTTGCACTCGTCAAGCATTGTCTTCCTAAGAACTGACTCTCTTCCCAAAATGCCGTTCTTCTTCAATTCGTTCAGACATCGGTATAGCGCAGCGCGGAGGTTCAACGATTGGAGTGGTTCGAGTGGCGGGAAGAATGGTTGGAGTTTCTGTAGCTGAGTCAGAAATAGATAAGCGTGAAGTTTCATCCCAGCATACCTGTGCTGTCTCATTGGGATCCCATATTTCGAAGAGTCGAAATAGTGCCCATTCAGCCCCGCCAATTCTCTGTCGCTGGTCTGCATTCTTGGCCGAGAAAGTTTGTATCGTGATTTCAGGCCAATCCGGTCGCAAATCCAAATCCAACAATCGCAAATTGGTTACGAACAGGCGAATATCGGGCGCTGCTATTGGGTTCACTGCTTGAGGTTTGGGAATTGTCTTGACCGACGCGGTGCGCGCATGGCC